CCATCTATCCTCCACCCATTACAGGATACAGTATTGGACAGGAGATCAGCAAGGGGAACCACTAAACCCTGAGGCAAACCCAGGACATCAACTCTACTGCAGATGTTCCTTACCCTTCAGACCTCAGCAAACGGGGGGAAGTTCTGGTGGCACAGGCAGTAAGAAAGGTAAGTATTGACTTGCTTCTTTTCCAGGTACGGCCATTTTAAAATGTAATACCTGTGGCAGGATTATTTTAAAGTGGACCTTCACACTCAAAAATCTAACAATGCATCACCCTATGTATGATGATCAATAATAACATAGACATGTCAGGTGTACAATGCTGTGATTGTGAAATACTTACACTTGCAGAGAAGTCACTTCCTGCTTTGAGGTGGCCATTGACTTCCGTTTGCCAAAGCAATGCACACTGGGTAGGTTACATCAGTAGAACATTGCTGGGAAATCTCATGAGATCTCAGAGAAAGGCATTTTCCTCTCCTGAGATGTGTACGGTCACATGTGCCAGATTTTCAGGAAGTAAAGGGAGAGCTAGTAATCTGCCCTTAATAAACATGGCCACTGTGAGAAGACTGGGGAAGAAAAGAGAAATGCAGAGTACAAAGCCGACAATGATCTAGAAGTATGTGTTTGTAGATTGTCATTACTAAACATTTCAACATGTGGGTTTGTCATTTTAAACATGGGTAAAGGTCCGCTTTAAAGCAAAACTCCAGGAAGTATATTTTGCAGATTACATTGTCCAGCTTGGCTCCATTATAAGTCTGCATATCTGCTATCCAGTGAGCTGCTGGGAGACTGAAATCCACTGTAATCTGCGCTACATACAGTGATAGCCGTGAACTTGCAGCTTCCCCACTGAGCACAGGGAGTCGCTCGATCCGCACTGCTGCCAATTGGAGAACCCCTTGTATTTTTTTGAGCGATTACAAGGCGTTCTCCGATTGGCTGAGGTGGAGAGAAGCAGGTGACGTAAGAAAAAAAAAAAAGTACAAGGCGCTCCTCAAATGGCAGCAATGCCCAGTGAGTGACTCCCTGTGCTCAGTGTGTGGAAGGAAAGCTGCTGTAACCACATCTGGAAGGTCATGGCTACGTAGCGCTGACTACTGGGATTTTTCAGGTCCCCGCAGCCCCCCGAGTATCTCAAATATGGGTACTTATATTGAGCCAAGCTGGACCACTGTAACTTACTTCCTGGAGCTCAGATTTAAAGGATCAGTACAATTTACCTGACTGTGTACGATTAAATTAGCAAAAGCATGCACAGCAAAAAGTTACATTCAGTTTAACCCTTTAGGGTAACCAATTCCATTGAACTTTTTGCTGTGCATTCATTAACTAGTTTCAGTGTGCACAGTTGCTTAAAATGGCCCTTCTTCACTACACAATCATGGTCATGGATGTAAGAACCCTCAGATTTAGTATATAGTAAAACCTCTGATACGGCACCAGCTTCAACCAAATGCTGTCAGCAGCCGACGTCAGGACCCACTGAGCAGGTACAAGGTATTTTATTCCAATTCTTGTAAACAGTTTATGTTTTTTAGGAGGAGCACCACGGCATATCAATCATGTATAATATTTCCATTGCATACGGCATTATCAGCAAATGTGTCCGGTTTTCTAACATGGTAACCTCTTTCTGATGAAACATGTCTGTCTATATGTCAATGATTGATTCAAACAAAAATAAAATTGGGATTTAAGAAGAAATGAATGTCCATGTTCAGCTTCCTGACTCTTTCTCAAGAAGTAAACTGAGATGAAACTGCAAATGGCATTTATAAATGATGGATTGTGGTCTATAATAATAAAATCTAGGAAGGGTTCCTGTAAAACTAGCTTATAAATCCATGTGCAGTATATCACGCCAGTTTTCATGTCTTGTGAGAGCCGCACCGTGATGCTTAAAAGGTAAACATTGATACTCTGGTTTCATTTCTTATGTCAAAGAATGCATCTCTGTATCCGTAGCTTCTGAGAGCAGCTGATTGGCTGTCAGTGATCATCTATGGAATGACACTGGGGATGCCTTCTAACCTTTCTTTACTAAGCACAGAGCAGGGGGGGGCGGGGGGAGAGAGGTGTGTACGGGTGGTCATTGTGGTCAGGGTCTGCATTGAAGAAATGTTCTACCACTGCGTCTCATCAGTGCTGGTACCATTTTCTGCTGAGGCAAGGGCAGCAAGGACACACCATGGGGGAAGGTATTGTTTAAAACTTACTAAATGGAAGAAGAAAAGATTGACTTGCTTTCCTTACAAAGGTTCAGGTAGAACGGGCTTTATAAAGAAAGCACAATAGGCAGTGTCTTCTCCTGGTGAAATATGTCCACTGTATTAATCATACAAAAGTTAACAAATACTCACAATCCAGAGTCAATTGGATATACATATATACACCGGTGTCCCGCATCACAACGTCCCACGTTACAGCGGAGGAAACCAATATGCTGCGAGCACCTAAGTCTGGACATCGGACCCGCTGGCTATCTTAACCAAACCAAGGATTTCTGGGGTGAGTTTACCAGTGGTCACCCTCATCTGTATTTAAACATAATCATAGCCAATGGGATGTTACCTGTGTACAGAGATGGTCACATGTCTCATGAATATTAATTAATAGAACCTTTTGTCCACTCGGTCACAATTTATTTATTTGTCAATTGCAGGATGTTAGTGGGGCGCTTGTTACGCCAAACACATTGTTGGACTCGGTAAAAGTTAAAGAGAAGTCCGTCCATGAGTCTGCACTTTCTGCAGGTCCCACTCATGCCTGCACACTGTAATCTAGGAGACTGGTAGGCAACCGTGGCTCTCAAGCTGTGCTGAAACTACAAATCCCATCATGCTTCTGGGAGTCATGCCTGTGGCTTGCAATGCCTTATGGGATTTGTAGTTTCAGCACAGCTTGAGAGCCAAGGTTGCCTACCCCTGATCTAGGAGAACAAACTGACGCTCTACCTGTAACCATAGGGACCAAGTCACTACCCAAAACCCGCCATTCTTTCACCGCTCACATTTGCGCACTGTGTCTTGAAGGAGCGAAGCTCCGGCACTCAGCCAGTAACCATAGGGATCCGGGACACTCAGCCAGTAACCATAGCGACGCTCAGCCAGTAGCCATAGGGACCCGGGATTCTCCGACGCTCGGCCAGTAGCCATAGGGACCCAAGATGCTGCAACACTCTGCCAGTAACCATAGGGACCTGGGACATTTCGACTCTCAGCCAGTAACCATAGGGACTCTCAGATATACAGCCAGTAACCATAGGGACCCGGGGCGCTCCGATACTCAGCCAGTAACCATAAGGACCAGGGACGCTCCGACATTCGGTCAGTAACCATAAGGACCTGGGACATTTCGACTCTCAGCCAGTAACCATAGGGACCCGGGACGCTCCGACACTCAGCCAGTAACCATAGGGACCCGCGACGCTCCGACACTCAGCCAGTAACCATAGGGACCAGGGACGATCCGACACTCAGCCAGTAACCATAGGGACCAGGGACGCTCCGACACTCAGCCAGTAACCATAGGGACCAGGGACGATCTGACACTCAGCCAGTAACCATAGGGACCTGGGATTCTCCGACGCTCAGCCACTAACCATAGGGACCAGGGACGCTCCGACACTCAGCCAGTAACCATAGGGACCCGGGATTCTCCGACACTCAGCCAGTAGCCATAGGGACCCAAGATGCTGCAACACTCGGCCAGTAACCATAGGGACCCGGGATTCTCCGACGCTCGGCCAGTAGCCATAGGGACCCGGGATTCTCCGACGCTCGGCCAGTAGCCATAGGGACCCAAGATGCTGCAACACTCGGCCAGTAACCATAGGGACCTGGGACATTTAGACTCTCAGCCAGTAACCATAGGGACCCGGGACGCTCCGACACTCAGCCAGTAACCATAGGGACCCGGGACGCTCCGACACTCAGCCAGTAACCATAGGGACCCGCGACGCTCCGACACTCACTATACGGACTGGGACTCACCTCCACTGCAACGATCTTTTGGCAGCTGCACACTGTAAAATATCTTACACCTGGTACATGATTAAACATAACTGATCTGCAAACCAATTCACATGCCTCTGACTTAATAGGTTGGATATTAATAAGCGGTGGGTGTAGAGGAGCGTGTGACAATTTGTAACCTTTTGATTAATAAACTTGACATACTTTACCAGGAGAATGCACTTTCCTTTCCATGTTTTGGAAGACTACCTGTTGGACGTGGTCAGCTGCCTCCCTTATAGGAAGACTTGGGATGCAAGTGTTAATCCATCACTAGCACTGACTAGTATACACATTTGAGAATAGGGTTTGTACATATGGGGTTCAGAAGGCACCATGTAACAGGCACCCTGACAAGTATGAGTTATGTTAAACAATTCTACATGTCCCAGCTCTTGGAGTAAAGTTCACTATGTTTTGTGTCAAGTTACAAATATTCCCTGCCATGTTTCTGTTGGTCTCTCTGCGAGAAAGGTGTTTGATAGGCAGGCTGCAAAAGGCTCAAAGAGAATGTACTTACTCATCCAGAACCTTTGTATAAAACCTTAATGAGGAAACTCAACACCTCGCAAAACGTGCCCCATGTTCTCCCCTTCCATTAACAATGGATACAAAGCTTACGCCAAGTACGGAATTCTCCTAAAGGATCAATACAGCAGCAAGCATCTGAAAATATTCTTTGCAGCTCAAGACATTATTCAAAATATAGAAGGGGTTATCATTTTCTTAACAAACAATAATGGAGTCATGATATTTGGTGCAGAGCTGTTTATTCTGGTGATGAGTGAAGAATCATAAGCAGGAAGGATGTTACATTCAGTATCTTGGTCATTAAGACTACATTCTGCTGATGTAGACATATTGGGTACACATTAGTACCACTCACTACATCAGGGATAGGCAACCTCGGCACTCCAGCTGTGGTAAAGCTACAAATCCCATCATGCATCTGCCTGTGAGCGCCATACTTGTGGCTGTCAGTCTTGCAACGACTCATTGGACTTGCAGGTTCAGAACTGCATGAGTGCTGAGGTTGCTTGCTCCTGTTCTACATAGACGGCCATAGTAAGAGGATCCAAAAAATTGAGCATTTCATTTACAACAGACCATATGATATAATACAAGACTATTTACACCCAAACACATATACATAAAATGACATATAACAGTATATTACCTACATAGTAAGTCAGTAGCAGAAAGAAAGTTTGCTTCAAATTCCTGGTCTGAGAATCTAGAGACAGACCGTCGAGCATTCTGTCTGATGTGCAGTCTCTTGTGTGCAGGGAGACATAGGATGTGCTCCATAGAAGAAGCATAGGTGTCCTCGCTGTCAGCCAGGAAGCCAGTTTCTTGTCCTTCGTAAGATACTACAATGTCCAGTTTGGGGCCTCCAGAGTTGTGAGCCAGAATGATGGTCCCTGCTGCCATACATTCAACCACTCCTGTAGAGCAAAACAAAACCACAACAAGTTATATTAGTTATCTCATCCCATCCAAATGAACAAACTGGAAAGACTTTACTGGTCATCTCTATACAAGTCCTACAAGTAAAAGAAAATGATACTATACAGATGAAGAGGCTTTTGAAGTTCAAGAAAGTTATAACCCTCGCGTGTGGGTCTGAGGAGTTTCTTTACAGAGAACAATGGGGTAACCTTTTTATCCCATAGTTCTCTTTAGGGTCATTGGAGGACATATACTAACCTCCTCCCGTGACCCAAAGCTCAGTATATAGCAGATTATTGCCCGCTATATATTGAGAGCGCCGCAGCCGGGACGAATCCAAAAAAATACTGTTGAGATCCACCCCACTGGCTGATTGACTGGGGGCTATGCCTATCTAGAGGCAGAGCCAGCTGTGCCCACCCCCCTCCCCGTCTATTCCGCCAGTCAGCGCTGGAGGATCCGAGAGGGGAAATCCCTGCGGGGAGCGGTGACTGACAGTCACCATTCTCTGCAGGGAGATGATCGGAAGTGAGCAAGCGATGGTATGCGTTCACTTGCTTCCTGATCTATAGAGTTGACGTGTGACAGTCTCAATGTCACCGGTCAGCTCTAACTATGAGGATGAGTGTAAATCCCTAACCTCATAGTTCTCCTTTAACTCTAAATTGAAAATAAAATAAAAAAAGTAGATCATCCATATTACTTAATTGACCAAGGTGATGAATATGTCCCCTGCTAAACCAGTAACGGGATGTAACTGCCTTTCCAGCAGCTCCCTACCCATTAGAGTAAACCGCTGTGTGCTGGATGGGTGTTTGCCATGATGTGGAAGCACACACATACTTACAAGTGCGCCGTTCTCCTGCACTCTCCGATGCATCTTCTGTCCCCCGCTGTCACAATATTCACCGTCACCACTTCCGGGTTCCCAGACATCCCCCTTAGCATTGGGTGGCCACTGATGATGTAACTCCAGTGCATACACACAGGAGACAGATCCTTCCCAGTCACCAGACCCACTGACAACCTCTTAGAAATGCCGACAATGAGATGAGAGTGTACACATTCAAAATGAATGCGCGTGCATTAACACAACACACAAAAACAGCAAAGTGTGATTGGGCCCTCAAAGAATACAACATGATGTAAAGCTGAACTCCAGGCAGATATAAAAGACACCAATGGAAGCAGCTCTGTGTTCAATAATACATCATTATAAGCATTCAGTAAGTGCAAGCAGTGTAAGTACTTGAATGAGACTTTGTATCAGCATCTTGCAATTCCAGAGTGGAAGAGAGAAACTGCACAAATAACCAGATGTGCGTCAGTGGTCTTGTGCTAACAAAGAACATGCTGAGAGAAGGAGAGAGGAAGAAGAAGAGAGGAATGACAGAGGCAAGCACGTCACTGTACTGCCTCCCCTTTAACTATCCAGAGGCTGAGAGAAGGACAAGACCTCTAAAGTCTTACTGAACTGGAGCAGGTCTCCTGCTCTGCCAGACAGGGCTGCGTTGAGTGGCAGAGTAAGTAAATCTCAGCACTGGATGGACATGAACATTTTGGACTGCTTCAGCTATCTTTAAAACAAAATACTTGCCTGACAGAATCCTCCAACCACAGTGGCCCTCCCTGACACTACCTTCACCTTGTGTGCTCAAAGGGGTCTTCACTGACCTTATGAAACTGTATGAGGTTTTTTGATCAGAAATTTCCCAATCAGGCATCAAGATGACGGCTCTTTATAAAAGTGAATAAAATGTTGCCGGCTTGTAGTGTGAAATGTTATTCTATGACCAAACATTAACTTTCCTGATTGCAATCACATTCTTACCAATGCCAAAGTGTTCGTTCCACATGGTGTGCAACCCAATGGTGGCTTCACTGAGGTGTTTCTTCAGCTCATCAAAGGGAATGTTTACTTTAAACTCCACAGGAACTCCCAAGTCTTTGCTGAGCTTCTTTAGCTCTTCCACACGAAGTTCATCCTGCTGGTTGCGGCATCCACCAATTAAAATGAGCTTTAGGTTAGCGCGTTCCTCGGATGTCTTCTTTGCCAGCAAAGCACTGAAAGCTCGGATCTGCAGAGGGTGGTCCTTCTCTGGCCTAAACTGGCCAATAGACACAATGGAGTGCCCCTTCCTCTCTTGCTCCACTTCCAGACTAATATCCAAAAAGGTCTGCACGTCGCAGGGTGGATAGACTATGCTCGTGCGTTCACTGCATTTCCACAGATCCAAGATGTGGTTGAAGGTCCATGTAGAGTTAACCATCACCAAATCACTACAAGAACCGACCCATCCATAAAACCAAGCAAACAGATAGTAATAGATTAACTTTAGTCTGCTCAGCACTGGATTGTTGGAGATCACGTCAGAGTTGTTAAATCTAGCATGGTGGTCCCGAACTACAGACAGCATATCTGTGCTGATCGTTGGATAGTGCACATAACAGCCCACATGACAACCCCCAAAATATTTAAAGAGTGACAAAGTAAATGCATAGCCCATGGAGTCAATATAAACGTCAGGAACGCATTTGGTCAGTGCTTCCCACCCAAGAACAATGGAACCCAAACTCTGACCCAGCAGGGTGAAATGGGGGTAATGTCGGTCTTCTACAAGGTTACGCTTTTCCAGGAATATGAACTCTACAGGATATGATAACTTGATGTTAAATCTCCTCAGGGCTCCATTTAGGATCTGTTCTCCAGATACATCTCTGTCACCGGTGTAGACAACGTAGACAGCGTCCTTGTACCTAGACAAGATAAAACATTCAAAAGACAATTAACAAGCAGTGGTCCTTGTATAGAACTGTACAAAAGGTGTCGGTTTACACACACACACACACACACACACACACACACACACGCACGCCACCCTTGTATAGCTCAGGCATCCATTCCATAAATGCAATAACTATCGGTAAGGTACATCTGAAAGTGAAATGTTGACAAATGATTGCACATGTATACACACCCATATTAACTTCAAAAAGTATTGTAGCGGACCTCGAAACAGGAATTGCTCACTATGTATCTGGCAGCTTCCAGGTTCAAAAGGCAAAGTTCTATTAATCACCCCCCATCCCCCCAGTAATTCCTTAAGGCCTTGTTCACACCAAATGCAGAGCAGATCGGCATGAGTTTCTGCACACGCAGTGCAGTGGATTGTGACGCGTTTTTGGTAAAAAATAAAATAAATGTTTAGTTTAAAATGGGCTTTCAGTGCGTTCCAGGGCGTTTGCATGCATTTTTGATGCGTTTGCATGCGTTCCAGAGCAGGTAAAATAGGGCCTGCTGCAGTTTTTTTTACCTGCTCTGGAACTGCACGCTGCGATGTGAACTGGAGCTAACAATACCATTGGAATACATTGGACGCAGTTTTGCTCCGGTCTGTAACTGCTCTGCTCCTGGAACGCGCTTGGTATGAACAAGGCCTCAATCAATGAGCCCTGTCCTTCTGGCCAACATGGAGACATGGGTTGGGGGCAGGTCCAGAGATTCGAGTTTAGAGCTGGAGGTTGATATCTGCAGAATAAGAACCACGCTGACAGTTTCCGGGTGTTTTGAAGGATTAAGACCGGAATATGTAGCTAACTCCAGGTGCCTCCCAACTTATATACATATGACAATTTCACAATATACTCGTCTTTCCTGATTTGTACTGGAAAAACTGTAAAAAAAAAAACAAACACGTCTTAAACACCGAATCAGTGGAATGTTTTCACACATTTGCAGCCCAGAGCTTTAAATCCATTTAAAACACTTCATACTATACAGTAGTGTTCACACTTAGGCATAGCATACACTAATCACGTCCCGCGGGTTCACGTTATTGTATGTCATCCGCTGGAAGTGGTTATACCAAGAACACGGCTGCCGCTGCTGTAGCCGTGTTCTTGATACCGTTTTAAACAGCAGGCGATTGCTGTTTAAATACAAGTGATCCGGCGTCTGTACAGGCGCCGGATTGCTTGTACGGTGTGGCGCCGTGCCCCCCCCTACTCCGCCGGCTTCCCGGGCTCATCTGTCCCTCATGCGAGTCCAGGACCGGTGTGGAAGGTCTCCCCTGATAGCCGCTAATCTCTCCTCTGAGCACTGGGCCCGGAAGTGATGTGCATCACTTCCAGTGTCACTGTAAACAGTCTCCGGCTCTTAGAGCCTGAGGAAGAAGCTGATGAAGCTGATCTCTGCTTTATCAGCTTCTTTGGGGTCCCTGGGTGACATTAGGGGTCTGAAAAACCCCTGATGTCCCCATAATCATAACCCCTGATGTTAGCCCCCTATGCAAAAGAAATAAAAGTGTAAAAAAGAAAATAAATTGTAAAAATGAAAAGTAACAAAAAAAAAATGTCCTCCACCCCCCACATACAACACAAACACGCGTCGGATGCGCCTACGTGCAAAAACAAAAATTGCGTTACACATGTTACATATCGTCGCGAGCGTCGGAGTGAGAGCAATAATTCGAGGCCCATCAATCACTGTGAACACTAAACTGATGAGCCGTAAAAGCTTTTAAAGCGTCGCCTATGGGAAATTTTGGTTATTGTCGTTTTTTGCGGTTTCACACAATTTTAAAGCTTGACATGTTTGGTATCCATTTACCCGGCGTGACCCCGTCTTTTATATTTTACCAAAAAATTGGCCATTATATTATGTTTCTGTGCACTAAATTTCATTTTAGTGTATTTTATCCTAAAAATACTTGTTTGATAAACATTTGCGCAAATACCGTGCAACATTATTCTACAGGGCCCCTGCTTTCAGAACATATATCATTGTTTGAGGGTCTGAAGCTGTTTTCTAGCCAAAAATTCTGATTTTATCATGTGTGTGCAAATGTAAGAAATTGCTCCGGGCAGCAAGTGGTTAAAAATTGGACCTTGAAGCAGAGGATACTTATCACTCCTTATTTCCTGTAATCCTCAGTTCTATCTAGTGGTCATAAAGTGACATTTTACTGATTCACGCTTTCTCATGAATGAACATTCCATCTGGAGAGAAAATAGCCTAATGACATTCGATTTTGCCCCATCGCCTCAGATCGAATGTAGATGCAGTTACATGGGACGAATAGCTCTGTGAATGGTTTATAAATACACCTCATAGTGTGCATGTTTACTAGTCTAGCAATATGACCCATGATAGGGATTAGCAGGGCAGTCAGATGCTGAAGAGGAGTGACCGGGTGATAATGAAAGCCTTTATTACAGACAGATAAAAGACTACCATTGTTATACTGTGATCACATACCTCTTCTGTAACGCTCGGAGGGCACACCACAGCACTCTCTCACCTCCTCCTCCCGCATTGCAGTATGGATGGAAAAACGCAATCACTTTCCGGGTGTTGCCATCACTGCCTAAGTGCACAGCTGACTTTTTCTTTTGAATGATCCAAAGCCGAAGAAAACATAGAAGAATTGCCAGCAGAAGGGAGGCTGTTATACTGGCGAGAAGAGCAGGCATGAACAACGACGCCAAAAGTCTAAAGAGGAAAATCATTCAGAAAGCATTAGCCAACTAAACAAACACGTATGGACTATACACAGTACACCTGGAGCATATCAAGGATCTGTCCAGGAACAGAAGTATTAGAGCGGTACTGGAAATCTTCACCTTATCTGGGACAATGTATGAGGATTACCCCCACAATGTGTATCCAATCAGATGGGCTCTTGCACAATACAGTTATTAGTAGATTGCGCAATCAGATATTAATATGTATGGTCAGATGGAGGAGTACTGACAGCTGAGCACAAAACAAAGATGTCCTCATCTACAAGCCATTACTGATCTCCTTCCATGCATCCCTCTAGATTTTTAAAGTGTACCTTCACACTCAAAAATCTAATTCTACCAATGCATCACCCTATGTATGATGATCAATGATAACATAGACATGTCAGGTGTAAAATGCTGTGACTGTGAAATACTTACACTTGCAGAGCATTCACTTCCTGCTTTGAAAGTGCAAATGACTTCAATTTGACCGGAAGCAATACACACTGGGTTTGCCTTGTCAACAGCAGAACATTGCTGGGAAATTTCATCTGTAATCATGAGATCTCAGGTAAAGGCATTTCCTCCCCCTGAGATGATGTGCATGGTCACATGTCCTAGTCACATGTGCCAGTGTTCCAGGAAGTAAAAGGACAGCTAGTAATCTGCCCTTAGTAAACATGGCCACTGTCAGAGGACTGGGGAAGAAAAGAGAAATAAGGTTTGCAAAGTCTGGAATTATCTAGAAGAATGTGTTTGTAGATTGTCATTACGAAGCTTTTCTAAAGCTGTGCTTGTTGTCATTTTAAACATATGGGTAAAGGTCCGCTTTAAGTATCACGGAGAGCGGAGCCCGGGATAACGGGTGGAGGGGACGCACACTCACCAGCATCATACAAGTGATCGCTTGTATGCAGCAGCCTTCATCGGCTGGAAGCAATGTGTAAGGTTCCCCACTTGTGCGCGCACCACTGCAGGGAGGCAGGAAAGGACGTTTAAATGCCCACCGGCCGTCATGAGTGAGCCGTTCGGCCATTTAGATACTATTGGCTGGACGAGAAGTGGTTAAAGTGCTTGTATAGACCACACATTTTATTTTAGATATGGATAGAGTGGGAAAGGGTTCAAACCAGGTTATGGTTTGCTGGTTCTGGAGAGTTCTCTTTATTTCCTGTCCTGGTGACACAGCAGGAAATGAGATAACATGGGCCAAATGGAGGGGAATTCCTTTTAAAGATAGTTGGCACTGGAACAGGTGTCACAATAAAAGATTCCCCACTATTCCTGTTGTGGGGACTACTCTATAATGTTGGGTTTCCTCTTACTTTATGTCCCAGTCCCAAGGTCATCAGGACAAATAGAGACGTTGAATCTCCCCAGCGGGGACACCGACAGCAACACAAACCTGTCAGGGGTTCTAATCTACACTCCAAAGGGGATACTGTTCCAGCGACAAGAAAGAAGGGATTAACCCCACTTAGAGAGATTTGCTCTCACTTCCTGTGGTGTAAACGCAACAGGAAGTTACAGAGGTACTTTAATCAAATCCAGAAAAATAAGAAAATTGTACAGTTAAAAATTGTCATGACACAGGAAGTGTAAAATACATACTCACCTTTCTATGCAGACTTACCTTATCTTGCAGTCTGGTGACCTTTCCCACTGCCTTGTCTCTCTTGCGCTGACATTTTGGGTAAGGGCATATCCTGATCCAACCTGTCAACACTGTGCATACGCACCCTGCATTCGAGCAGGAAACCATTTTGTTTATGTTGCCCTAGTAACAGCAACAAGTAAACCAAATGATTCCGACTAGAGCGCTTGGTGTACTGATCTGAGGCAGCCAAAACTATGGCAGCATGTTAAACAAAATGATTCCATGTTAGAGTGCCAGGATGTATGTTCATATGTTACCACAGTAATGGCAACATAAGTGCCACCAATCCCACCCTGTACACCGAGGGCTCTCATTTGTTTTAGACGTTGTTGCTGGGATGCACTGATACTGGTTTTTCGGTACTCGCCGATACCAGAAGTCCCATTAAGGAAGCCAGACGGCGTGTAAATACTCGCCTCCCAATTAGCCGAGAAGCCGTCAGCAAGTGACAAGGAAGCATGGAGCCGGCTTTCTTGCCAATCAGGAAGCCGGGGGGTAATGACTCGCTGCCCAGCTTCCTGATTGGCCAGCTTCCCGACCAATCAGGAAGCTGGGCGGCGAATCATTACACACCATCCAGCTTCCTCATCACCAAGTGAGGGAGCAGGGAGTTGGCTTACTGGCCAATCAGGAAGCCAGGTGGTGTGTAATGCTTCGCCGCCCGGCTTCCTGATACCGAAAGCTCCGGTATAGGGAGCATTTGGGTGAGTCTGACTACATGCCCAAATACTTAGTAGCGATTCTAGTATCGATGCATCCCTAGTTGTTACTATGGCAACACAAACAAAATGATTTCCCACTTGAGCACAGCGTGCACATGCGTGAGGCAGGCAGCCAAGGAAGTACAGAGAGCACCATTCATTTGAAATGGTTGAAAAAAGGGGTGTCCTTAGATAGATATTGAAGCAGACCTTCACCCCCCTAATGCACTTTGAATCTTCTGAACCCTCCTTCACTCTTTGTTTTTATTGGCCCACCCAGCTCCTTTAGGTCTGGTTCACACCTAGGAGGCATCCTGGGATATCCAAATCAGATATTCCAGGAGACATCAATTCACAGAGAGCAGCTGGTGTGAGGGTGGACCTAGTGGGGTGCCATCAGGGGGCCGGCTACCTGAACCAAAGGATGACAGCCTGATGATGTCAGAAAGGAAGATGGCAGCACTGGTTTTCTGGGCAGGCGAGTATGCTACTTAAACCCAACCGACAAGGCAAAGAGGGGGCTAAATGTAACATTAACCCTGGGGTGGACTTCCCCTTTAAATGAGAACCATTATGAGAGCAGACAGCATCTGGAGCAGTTACCTATAGTAACCAGCTTCTCTCTTCTGTTTATCTGTGAAAATGAAAGAGAGAAGCTGATTGGTTACCATGAACATCTGCTCCAGATCTGAAAAATCACCCTCTGTGTGTGTAGAGTCAGCCATAAAACACCCTCACCCCGGTGACATATTTAGTCTTTTGAAATAGCAAACTGCTGCACGAACAAACATTACTGCACGGAAGATAATGCTACTGCTGACATGGCCGGCCACAGTGCCATTCTATCATGTCTCTCACCTCATCAGCCCGCATACACACAGCACTCCCGCCATGGCTGTCTATCACAGCCTCACACGTCACTACAACAACACGACCATCCGGCTCTCACGTTGATTGGCTACGCTCATAGCCAATGGCGTGCTGACGTCAGGATTCAAACAACCAGAAAGATTGCCGCACGTGATTGTGGAAAGGCGTGGCTAAAGAAAAAGGGGTGAGGTTTAAGCCTAGAGACGACAGTAAGGGCGTTTCTGAGGGGCGAAGCTCGAGAGCAGCAGAGGTGTCCTATGCGTGGCGAAGAGTGGGCGGGGTTGGGCGGTGCGATGATTGACACGTTAAAGGCTCTAACATGTTGTGACACTGGCCGCCGCAAATCAATGTGCCTTGTAATACGAGTTACACAGACTGAGCTTTCCGATGAGTCCATAGTTCACCAATCACTGTGCACACATACATGGCCAGAGCACACACATTGCCCCGGAGCGCACAGGACCTGCTGGGTAATCCTCCTTCTTTATATTCTACATACATGTGATGATCTATTTCTCTGAGCTTTCCGCCGATTTCAAATCTCTCATCTGTGTGTGTGAATTCTAAACTGATCACTAGAATGAGATAGAATGACAACTTTTATACAATGTATCCATCAGTGAAACTCCATAGATGTTGTATAGATCTATATTGCTCAGTGTTGTGTAGTTCTATATTGCTCAGTGTTGTATAGTTCTATATTGCTCAGTGTTGTGTAGTTCTATATTGCTCAGTGTTGTATAGTTCTATATTGCTCAGTGTTGTGTAGTTCTATATTGCTCAGTGTTGTATAGTTCTATATTGCTCAGTGTTGTGTAGTTCTATATTGCTCAGTGTTGTGGAGTTCTATATTGCTTAGTGTTGTGTAGTTCTACATTGCTCAGTGTTGTATAGTTCTATATTGCTCAGTGTTGTATAGTTCTATATATTGCTCAATGTTGTATAGTTCTATATTGCTCAGTGTTGTGTAGTTCTATATTGCTCAGTGTTGTATAGTTCTATATTGCTCAATGTTGTATAGTTCTATATTGCTCAGTGTTGTGTAGTTCTATATTGCTCAGTGTTGTGTAGTTCTATATTGTTCAGTGTTGTATAGTTTGTCACCTAGGGCTGGATTCACACTTCTGTATCACAGTAATGCACTGCTGATATGGATGTGGGCTATTCACACCTGAGTGTTTTTGTTTTCCATTACCTGAAGTGCGACAACGCCATTAGTTGTTATGGTGCTAGTTCACATCCAAACATTGAGTCGCTCGAAAAAGTATATAGGCAGAATAATGCGTTTTGGCCCCAGTGGGAGCGACTAAAAAATGCTTGTAGCACTCGTTTCCTTATGCGATTTTGCATTTAACAATCATCTTCTCCTCCTAGTATCAAACTTTCCATTGGCTTAAAGAAAAACACTAAAGCCTGAAATATGCTTACGAAAGTACAAAAAAAAATCTTTAAAATCATCTGCTCATGTGTGAATGGGGCTAATACCTAATATACGTCATTTGTTGTCTGTTTTTCAAGCTTCTTTATAACTTCACATAGACGTGATCACTGTTGGTTATGTATTTAGATGAAGCACTGAGATCTTGAAGAATGCTGAATTAAGTTTTACATGCTTAAAACAACGGTACATGTATGTATACAGCATTGTGAGGAAACATAGATAGAAAAAAACCCAGCAACCTGTGTATCATAGATAAGCATGCACATAGAGAGTAACATTGCACTATACTGCCATCTACAGCTCAAAAAACATAATTACATCTCAGGACATTATTATATTAGTACAGTATGTGCTGTTGTATTTCCAACAATAACATGATAGAATTTGCTGGGGCCCCCAATCTCAGAGAGGACGTTGTGTAGAAAACTGTAGCAGTTATACATCTCTACCAATCAGATCCCCAAATTGACTGGAAAGAGCAGCAGCTGGTCCATGTATTCATTGTGTAGTATTTTGGCTACGGATTTGGCCGCTTGCTAAATTTCTGTGACGTGCACAATTTCTCCTAGTGAGCACATAGGCTTGAGAAAGAAATCTGTTTATTTTTTGATTTATTTACATCGATGGTGGGGATGTTTAAAATACTTATTTATCGTAGTTTTTTTTTTTAATTTACAGGTCTATTCACAAAAGGGTGAAGAATTTGGAGAAGGCAGGTGAAGTGAACAATCTAGGACAGCATAGCTGAACTGGAAAATTCTCCAATTCAACTCACTTTCCCGTTCAGCTCTGTTGTCCTAGATCAGTGGTTCTCAACCTGTGTAACCTCAGGACCCACATTTGTCCTTGGTCATTAAGTCATGACCCAAGTCACACTGCACTGGAACACACAGCATTGTGGTACCACGCGTTCCGGTGCGGCCGATCAAATTGTGGGTGGGAGGTGCATTTGGGGTGCCGTTCAAATAAATGGCAATGCAACACACCTACCACATCAGTAAGGGACCGTACAATTGATGCACTGTACTAGTGTGAACAGGCCCTCAAAAACACTGACAGACACACACAACCACAGACATATTCTCACACACATGCACACTCCAAAAAAAAAAATGTATTTTCTTTTTTTAAGATCCACCCAGTCTTTCTTTCAGTCTTTCTATCTTATGAGAACTGGATCTTCAGCGTGGGGTCCAGTGTGGGTTGCTGTGCTGCGATGGAGCTCCATCCATATGTGCATTGCTTGTACAGCTCCCTAGCGTGCGCTGTTGAGGTGCCGGGAGCCAGAATGTGACGTCACTCCAGTCCAGGCACCTCTACAGGACACGTGAGGGAGCTGTAAGCAATGCATGTATGTATGGAGCTCCCTCGCTGCCATACCCCCAGCCCACCCCACCTCCAGCTGACACTCGGCGCCGGGCAGCATATTTTGAATGGCTGCTTGGAGCGAGAACTGACGGTGCTGCTCTAGGGGGAGGCTGAGGAGCCTCTCACCTAGAAAAGGGGAAAGCGTGCCGCGACCCACTGAACACGAGGTCGCGACCCACTTTTGGGTCACGACCCATCAGTTGAGAACCAAGGTCCTAGATTGTTCACTTCTCCTGTCTTCTCCAAACTCTTCACCCCTTCTGTGAATAACCCCGATAGTGTTATTTGTATTGGGTTTTTTTTCTCTTTATTTGTGTATATGATTGTCGCTTTTACATCCTTATTTTCCTTTTTTTGTGCTATCTGCATTTTCTTTCTGTAAAAAAAAATATATATAAAATAATGAGGCTAATGAGGGGCTGTTTTTGGTACAAAGACAGGTCCAGGGCAGTTTAAAGGGTATTTCCAGTTTTGTAGTTTGTGTAGACTGCAAGCTTCCCCGTACAGTTTCAAAGTGTGTCTGTCTCTAGAGAAAGTCTGGATAGACTGAGCTTCCTCTCATTAGCATACAATGTTTCTAGGTCTTTAACCCTTTGTTGGGACAGACAGTGCCCCAAACTAGTTTTCAACTGATAATGAGGTCTGCCAGCACAGTACAGACAGGGTGAATTATGGTAAACATTAATGTGACACTAAACTCTGGAGTGAAATCATGAAAATGTATTCAAGTACCCCAACTATTAACAGAACCCCAACTATTAACAATAATGTATCTTATTTGTGTATCACTCGGCTATAGATCCTCAAATCATCTCTGAATTGGTGCTGACACTGTCCTTCCTTCTGAAGGGTGGCTACTTTTGTTCCCCATGGTCCCTGTGTGTGTTGTAATGTAGACACCTCACCAACCTCCCGTTATGGACTACAATCGCACTACAAACTGGTAAACCAAACATGAGATTGTAGTCCATCATAGAAGTGAGCTTGGAGTGGTGGCACCGCACTGCCCCTCTCGGCCTCCTGTGACAAGCAAATCAGGATGGGGAGCGGTGTGGGGGAGGAGGCGGCGGCTATCAGCTGTCACAGGAGGCAGAGCTGGCGGTGTGGGGGAGGAGACCGCTGTCACAGGAGGCAGAGCTGGCGGTGTGGGGGAGGAGACCGCTGTCACAGGAGGCAGAGCTGGCGATGTGGGGGAGGAGACAGCTGTCACTGGAGGCCGAGCTGTAGGTGTGGGGAAGGAGTCAGCTGTCACAGGAGGCTGAGCTGGCAGTGCTGGGGAGGAGTCAGCTGTCACAGTAGGCAGAGCTGGCGGTGTGGGGGAGGAGAGAGCTGTCACAGGAGGCTGCGCTCTCCTCTCCGCACCTATCTCTACTTACCCCCTCATAAAAAGTTAGCAAGTTAGTTAGGCAGGAACGCGGGAACTTTCCCTTAATATGTCAGAAACATGGAACATACTGGTGGTGCCATTTTTTGTTAACCATTTGCCTGAATGGCCAGACAGGAGCCCTTTAGGAGCAGGAGGGCGTCTTAAGACGTCCTGCCCCTCCACCCGCTCGTGTGCAACGCTCAGCGCACACACGAGTGGGGAAACTGTTAGCAATGTAAACAGCCAGCGATGGCTGTTTTACATTTAAGCGATCGGGCGTCTCCTGGAGACGTCCGATCGCTTTTAGTAGGTGCGGGTGTGCCCCACCTATTGCCGCAGCCGGTCCCAAGATCCGCTGTGCCTGGTGCGGCTGAGACCGGCAGCGCGACTCTGTCAGTGGAGATCTAAAGGAGATCGGTACACAATTCCTCTGTCACTCTTCGGCAACAGATGCCGGTGAGAAGCTGCTGATCTCTGCTTCATCAGCTTCTCTGGGTTCCCTAGGTGACATTAGGGGTATGTGCGAAAATGACGATTGCGCCCATTACGCCACACATGTTTCTTATCGCCGCGAGCGTCGGAGTGTAAGCAATAATTTTAGGGCCATTAATTACTGATAACACTTAACTGATAAGCGTTTAAAGCGTTGCCTATGGACTATTTTGGATGTGGCCGGTTTCTGCGATTTCGCGGGTGCGCACAATTTTAAAGCTTGACATGTTTGGTGTCTATTTACCCGACATGACCCCGTATTTTATATTTTACCAAAAAAGTGGGGTGATTAATAAATGTTTCAGAACATTTCATAGGGAAACAGGTATTTTATTCAAAATTTAGGGTACTTTTTTGTTATATAGTAAAAAATAAAACCCCCAGTGGTGATTGAATACCACCAAAAGAAAGCTCTATCTG